AGCGTCTCGCGGTGCTCACCCAGCGCCAGTTAAGTCGCGCACCTTCAAGGCTCGTAGTGGCACCCCCCCCTTTTCTGGTGTGTACCCGGCRCRCCGATAGTCACGCCTGCTTGCTGGACATAGCTTCGACACCGGCTCGCCGCAAAAACCCTGCGCACTCGTTTAGCCCTTCTCCCCAGGAAGGACTCCGGCGAGACTCCCTGATCGAGCGCGCTCCCGCCTGGCGTCGTTCCCCGTACAAGACCCTCACGTCATGACTCGGACTCGTATCGCCACCCGGGGGCTCGTGCTCCTCCTCCGTCCTCCCGTGCGTCCGAACGCGGGCGCAACCTCGTGTCCTTGCTCCGGACGTCTGAACTCGTATGCTCTCACCCCCGTACGCGCCCCCCTGTCTACGCGTCCCCGTTCTTTTATACCTTTCCTTCTCCAGTCTCCCGATCCATGCTCCTCTCCTCTCTCCCAATCACCTTGCCCGTTGGAATCTAGACACTTCCCTCTCTCTTCCCCCAAAAAAACCTTCCCCGACTCTAAAATTTTCCCCTTTTTGAAAATCTTCCTCCTAACTTGTGTTTCCCGCTCACGACTGTCTGCTCCTTCTTTATTCCCCTCGATCCTTCCTCACACCGTCTCTACCAATGGCCGCTCTTATACTGCCTCCGCCTCGGATTCCCCCCCTCTCCTTTTGAATCCGGTCTTCTTAGGCGCGCGCTCTCTTCGAAAAGCGTCTCTGAAGGCTCTCTGCCTTCTTTCTCAACTGTTTTGGCCAGCGCTCGTTGTCGTCGACCCCCGTCGCTTCGTATTCTTCTCTGGCCACGTTTTTCGATTCTTCCTGCTTAGTTCTTTTGGCTGGCTTATTCCTTCTCTAGTCTCTTGATCCAAAATCCTTCCCCCACTCTAAATTTTCTCCTTTTCGAAAATCTTGCTCCTAACTTGTGTTTCCCGCTCACGCCCGTCTGCTCCTTCTTTATCCCCCTCGATCCTTCCTCACACCGTCTCTACCAATGGCCGCTCTTATCTTGCCTCCGCCTCGGATTCCCCCCCTCTCCTTTTGAATCTGGTCTTCTCAGGCGCGCACTCTCTTCGGAAAGCGTCTCTGAAGGCTCTCTGCCTTCTTTCTCAACTGTTTCGGCCAGCGCTCGTTGTCCCCGACCCTCGTCGCTTCGTATTCTCCTCTGTCCACGTGTTCCGATTCCTCCCGCTTAGTCCTTTCGGCTGGCTTAGTTCCACCTGGCTAAACCCCCGTCATTTCATGTCGTCGGACCTTCGGCGGCTGGCCCTTGGACTAGTGTCTGCGCATCATTTCTTATCTCCGTGCTTTCCCTCATAACTCGGGTTTTTGCGGGCGGTGGTCAAGAGGGGTCAGCATGCATTCTTCGCTGCCCGAGCTCGTTTTCCCGCAGTGACGGTTGGCTCTCCGCTTTTCAGCTTATATCCTGGGCGGCCTTTATCTAGGCGGCATAGGCCCCGTCTCCTCGGTTCACGGTTCGACCTTATAAAGTTGACACCGACCGCACACAACCCAACGTTTCGCAGCCCAGCACAGCGCTCCGTTGTGAGGCCACACTTGGTCAGCTTCTTAAAGTTTTTTGCCGAAACCTGGGGGAATTCGTCAGCTTTCACCCTTCTTAAATACTCTTGGGTGCTTTCCTCTCTCGTCCATCCTGACAACCGATCTGCCCCTCCAGCTGCGCCTGTCAATAAAACACAATAGCGGGCTCCAGCGGCGAGCCTATTTTCTTCGAACAGGTCACCGCCCGAAGAAACCCCCTTTCTTCGTTGTAGCCGGGCCATGTCTGTGCCACGGAGAAAACGTCCACCGGTCGATCCATCCCAATGCCGACGGTTGATCCCAGAGCTGGCCATCATGAGCTTGCGACTACACTGCAGCACCCGTCGTCGAACTAGCCAGCGTACCATAGCTCCTTACCCGGGCCCACCCGCAGTTGCAGACAAGGAATTCATCATCTCCCCGAGGCCTGAATCCTGTCATCGCGCTGGTCACTTCCACAAGCGTGGCGGTCCGGGTGCGAGCACCAGCCTTTCCCCAAACTCTTAGCCCGTTCCAAGAACCGCCATGTGGCCGCCCCCTTGCTTTGTTGTAGGCGCTCTCCGGTGCGGTTGTTGTGTCAGAGCCGCGTCGGCTGTCGTGGCGTCTCACCTAACCTCCTGGTACCGCAGACCATGCTAGGCACGAGCAGACCCCGCCATGCACATCCGTGGTAGCCCGGTGGTCATTCACAATCGAGGTCCCGGACCTTAATTGGCCGCCCGTTTCGATCCGAACAAGGCCCACTCCGACATATACCATCCGCCCCGTATTTTCAGAGTTTGACTCCGAAACTCCAATCTTTTATGATCCGCCGAGTCCGCTTGCGACTAAGGTTGCTTCCGTCACTTCAGGCAACAGAGGGGTTAGCATGATGACCCGGATGCCCGAGGTCACCTATAAAAAGCATGTCCACACGCACTCACACGTCTAAATCCTAACAAAACAGCAAAAAGGAGAGAAAAAAAGTATTCATTGCAAAGAAAGAAACCCTTCAGCTGGTAGACAGCCGCCCGACAACCAGCCCACACCCCAATTCTCGCCGTCCCCGATGAGCATTTCCCATTGTATTCCCCCTCTCCTCATTTTAGTTTATCCCATTCCCCTTGGTTCCCCTGGTCGGCCACGCCCCTAGACGCCCGTTTTTCCTAACTATGCTCTCTTCTCCTAACTAAGGTACAAAATCCCTTTCGGTGTCGCAACATACCGCCCTTTCCCGACTCACGTTTCCTTAACTATGGTACACCCTTCCCGTTGGTTCCTTGACATCTGTCCCTTTCTAACTATGATACAATCACCCTTCCTAGGACTACGACTCATGGCGCATCATCCTACGACTGTTTCCGTCTCCTCTTCCTCTTCTCGTGCCTTTGTCTCTGCCGTTTCCTCTCTTCTCTCTCCCATTTGATTTTCAAGGCTTTCATTGAGGCACTCCTCCTCTTTCTTAGCCGGCGCTTCCCTAGCCGGTCGGCGTCACCTTCTTCTTCTCTAGGCCTATACCCCTTCATGGTTGGGCGAGACGAGGCCCCTTGTCTGGAGGTCTCTCCCTTTTCATGTGTGATGGTCAATTCTGCTTCGAGCACTTCCTTCCCCTTTCGTTTTGGCTCCTCTCCAAGGGTCCCTCTTGATCGGAAGCTTTTGAGACGAGCCCCCGCGATAGGGTCCCGTAGCCTACTCCTATCTAATTCCGCGAGCATATAAGCCCCCCGTCCAATCTCTTTAGGACCTTATACGGCCCCATCCATCGGTTCGCCAATTTTCGGCTCCAGGTCTTTTCCAGTGTCGAATCGTATATCAGTACTAGGTCATCAACCCCTATCGGCGCCTTTCGGACCCGCAGATTTTTGTCCCTTCTATCTTTCCCTTTCACCCTCTCTCTCTTGATGTTCTCACTGGCCGTGGCTACCCCGACATCCAAGTTCTCCGCCATCTGCTGTATCCGTGCTTCCAATAGCTCACCCCTAGACATGTTGGTTTTCCATGAGACACTTGTCCAAGTGTCAATGTGGAACTCAATGGGTAAGGGACAATGCCTGCCGAACCAAAGGGTGTAAGGAGGGTACCCAGTACTCGATTTGACTGTGATGTTGTCTGCCCAAACTACGTACCGTAAATACTTAGGCCATTGTTCCGCGCGACCCTTGCACCACTTTGTTAGGGCGTCCACAAGTGTCTGGTGGCCCCTTTCTACTGATGCATTGCTTTGGGGATGATAGGCAGTCATATAGGCCGCCCCTATGCCTGCCTTCTCCAACAACCCTTTTACCTTCTGACTCAAGAACTCTGCTCCCCTGTCCATGACCATTTTTCCGACACACCCATACCGTGCGATATATTCAATGAGAAATTCACTTACCTCCTCTGCCGTCTTCTTTTTAATGGCCTTTGCTTCTACGAATCCCATGAGGTCATCCCGGGCGTTGATTATATACCATAGCCCGCCGACCCCTTTTGGCATGGTTACCAAATCTACGCGGACCTTCTCATCCGGAATCGTGGGAAGCGATGGAACTAAGGGTTCTTTGTATCGGATCGTCGCCCTCTTCTGACAAGCCTCACACATCGAACAATACTTCTCTACTTCCGTGTATTGTCCGTCCCACCAATAAAGCCTACGGACCTTGTCGAAAGTACCCTTCACCCCCCTGTGACCTCCAACGCCCCCATCGTGTAACTCTTCTATAACCGCCCTTCTCTCTTCCGGATTGCACAGCATCATCATGGGTATTGCAAACTTGGTGGGCCTTTTGAAGAGGTGGCCCCCCCTTACACAATACCCTAGTGCTTCTTGCTGGATTCTTTCAGTCCCTGTTTTCCTACCGGCCAAGTACAACCTTATGTCTCGGTATTTTCCATCGTAGAGATTTGCGAGAAAGGTCCTTGGGCCCCCTTCCTCCCCTCGGCTGCCCCCAGCTATTTGCGCTCTATTTGCGGCGACTTTCATTATCGCCTCTTCGGCCATTGCCTCTTCTTCCTTCTCAAGCCTAGGTAGGTCCTCCTCTCGAATGGGAAACCGGGACAATCCATCGGCGACCTGGTTTTTGGTCCCCGATATCCTCTCGACCCTATAGTCATAAAGCCTGATATGGATCATCCAGCGTGCAATGGTCGGATCCGTCAATGAGAAATCCTTTTAGAGGACCGCAGCCACTGCCGTCGGGTCCACCCTTAGGAGAAATCGCCGTCCGTACAGGTAGTGACGGAAGGCTTTCAGGCAATGCAGTACCCCCAACACTTTCTTCTTGAATTGGCCATAATTTCTCTCTGCGGGGTTTAAGGTCCGCCTTTCGAATCGCAGCGGTCTTTCTCTCCCTTCCCCATCCTTTTGCGACAGGAGACCCCCCACCGAGTGAGGTCCAACGTCCGTGGATACTATAAACGGACGACCCTCTTCGTCTTCAAAAAATGGGACTCCTAGGACTTCTCCACCTTCGCGGAATTCCCCCTTCAAGGCTTCCATGGCCGATGTTTGTTCTTCTCCCCAAACCCATCCTTCCAATTTCCTGAGGAGTCTTCTAAGGGGTTTCGCCTTCTCTCCATAGACTTTTATGAAGATTCACCAGTAGCCCACAACCCCTAGAAACTGTCGAACCTCCGTTATGGATTTGAGTGGCGATGGCCAAGTCATCAACTTTACTAGTTTCTCGGGATCGGGCCTCCGCCCCTCTTTATCGCAAATGAACCCTAATATCTTGATGGAGGATACGCCCCAGCGACTCTTAGTCCCGCTTACCGTGAGGTTCGCATCGTCTAGTTTCTCAAGGACGTCTCTGACATCTTTCATATGGTCGGCCACAATCTTTCTAAACTCCGGGAAAACCTTTGTCTCATCATGCTCGACCGGCCCTTTTATCGGGAAATAATCCAGGAAGACCTCCACCTTTTCCAGTATGAATTCCTTGAGGACCACGATCATGGCCCTTTGGAACACGGCTACCCCATTCGTCCAACCCATCGGTACCACCATCATTTGAACCAGCCCTAAGGGTGTATGCATGACGGTCATGTGCCTGTCCCTGTAATCTAGGGGAATCTCGTCGTACCCTGAGAAGAGATCGCAAATAGAGTATATCGAGCGACCCGCTGACCCTTCCGCTAGCAAGTCGGCCTCAGGTATAGACCCCATGTCTCTTATGGTGACTGCATTGGTCCTCTGGAAGTTCTGGATCCATCTTAGTTTGTTGCTACCTCCCTTCCTTAGAAAGAACCACTTATTGGAGTAGGCACTCTCACAAGGTTCCGCGACAAATATCCTGATCTTTTCCTTGATGAAGACCATTATCTCTTCTTTCTCCTTTAGAGCATACTTCCATTGAGGCCTATCCTTCCAAAGGACGTGTGGGGCCGTGTGGATCCGGGCAGGCCCAGCATACCTTGGGTCGATTCTCCCTCTCTCCGAGTCGTCAAAGGCAATGACCTTATCGCAGCCCCTTAAGGTCATTGCTATGAACTCTTTCTCTTTCTCCGTGAGATTCCCATCTCCTATATCCATTTTGGCCAGTCTATCGGCCGTTATTCTTTGCCCTTCCGTCTCTTTCCTCTTCCTGATGATATCGTCTATCTCCTCTTCCGATATCGTAACTTCCCCTGTTCTATCCTGGCTGACCGCGGCGGGTTTCACTTTCTCCGCCACTGTTTTGTGCTTCTTAACTCCGCCGGCTACGGGGATCCCTCCAAAAAAGACAAACTGACGCACCCACCGAACTCCTCTTTCTCGTCCTCCTTCTCGTACCCCATGCTGTTAATTACTATCCTGTCCCCCACGTCTTCGATCTCCAATTGGACCCCCTTGGGTCCTCTATCCGTCAAGGGCACTTCCTCTAGACGACTCGACACACCCTCGACTGGGCCCCCTTGCGCCTAGTAAGGCTGGTCCGGTTACGTTCATCTTGCACGTCCACGGTCTTTAGGACCACTCTGATTCCATCCGGACTTTGGATCGAGAGAGTTTGACTCCCATCCGACAAATCAACGCGCTTAGCCAAGTCCTCCAGAGGATTAATTCAGAGGAACATTCTTTTACCGAAAAGATCGGTACCGTGGCCTCCACACCAGCTACCTTAATTACGGGGCTATGACACACCCCTTCCGCCGGTTGCAGCTTGTTATCCGCCACCACCACCGACATTGACACCCCTCGATCTATCTCCAGGCCTAGCTCTCGTGCGATGGAGTCCCTACATACCGTAGACTCAGAACCATTGTCCACTAAAGCCCTCATCTTTTTCCCACTTACCACCGCCTGGAGCTGGCCACTTCCTAGCACGTAGAACTTCTTGGCCTCTTCCCCCGAGAAGAAATTGGCCGGTAGCTCCTCCATGGTAATGCGGGTGGCCTGCACTTCTTCCTTGGCGGGACCTTCCACCAGCACCGTGGGCCCTACCGCGAGCGGGACTCTCACCTTCCTTGTGATGCTTAGGAGCTCCTCTCTGGCACTTTTGCTCGCGGCTAGATATTCTAAAAGGGTGCATTGCATGGGCTGCATCAGCGTTCGCCTAAGGGGTGCTACCGTGTCTATCTCATCTAGGGTGCACTTCATTTCGAACTTTTTGGGGGCCTTTTTCTTAGGCGATTTTGGCGAAGTGGGCTCTTCTTTCTTTTACTCCACTACTTTCGCATCGGTCATTGGCTGGTCATTGTCGCTGCTTTTCACCTCCGTACTTTCCGTCACGTTTGCTTGGTTCTCAGATGTCTCATCCCCGACCTGCGCCCTCACCCTTAGGTAGGGCCTCTCCTCCTCGGCCTGGGTATCTATGAACTTGATGCTGGATACTTGGGGTTCTCTAATGGACAATCCTCCTGGTGACTCCACCATTTGGATGTGAGCCGCGCTGGAGGAGCCCCCGACCTCCGGCTTCTTTCCTAGCCTAGCCTCTTGAAGGGCCACCCTCTTATCTACGTTCACCTTCATCGATGGATAGAAGGAGACCGCCTCTCCGCTATCTCCCCACACATCCGGTAGGTCGTTCTCCCCACCGGGGAGCCGGTGGGCCAGGGGGCGGTCTATCGTTTCCCCTCGGGCCATCGTTCCGTGTCCCTCGCATGTTACGGAGGGCTATGTCCAAGGTCTCCTTCGTGTATTCTCTTACGTCTACCCCTCCCCCTGTGAAAACAACCTCGGCGACTTTCTCGAAATTCGCGGAATCCCTCGGGGCCTTCTCAAGGATCTCCTTCCTCTTTTCCTCGGGCAGGTGCAGCATGAACATCACGCACCTATCTACTTCAGACAGCATGCCCCTATCCACTAGGGTTTGGGATAAGCGTTTGAACCTTCGGGTGAAGGCTACCAAACTTTCCCGTTCCCCCCTTGTAATTCGTCGCAAGCCCTCTACGGTCGGGATTAAGTCATCACAGGCAAAAGTCTGCAATAGGCTCCCCCTAAAGGTCCTCCATCGACCGTCCGAGTGGTAGATGGCCCGGATCGCGGTGTCCAATTTGGGGTCCGAGTGCAGGATAAAATAGTCGATCCACTCCCTTTCGGAGAATCTCTTGCGGTATGCGTAACTTTCCCATTTCTCCACGAACCCAGTTACATCTCGCCCATAAAAAAAAAAGCGCCTCCAGACCCAGGTTGATGTCATAATAGGGCACCCGTCAGTCGTCATATCGGCGAAAATAGAGACCTTCCATAGGCCCATCGGTTGCCGGATTGTACGGTTTGTACCACGAGGGATCGGGCTCCTCTACCCGGCCTCGAGGTCTTGATGGCTCCCAGGGGTCTTCCCCGTAGCAGCCCCGTTCATCCGGCCAATCGGCTTCCCACCGAGCGTGGTCCGCCCCTCTAAAACTCCGCCGTGCCTCCATCCCTTGACTCATAGCTGTTATCTCGCTAGGGGCCCAAGCCGCATCTGCTTCTCCCACGGCCCATCTACGCGATCTACTACCAGCCTCCGCCGGCCTTTCTTTTCTAAGACCCCTTCTACTTGGTCCTTCCTCTTCTCTCTGGTGTGGTCTGTACCCCCTCCCATCTCTTGGAAATCCGAGGGCTTCTCCCATTCTTGCGTCCGGTAGATCCCCCCACCGAGATTCTATAGCAAGGCCCCTCGAGCCCTCGGTTGCCCCGTCCCTTACTGACATTCTCATTTCCACACCAGATCTCGGGCCTACCAAGCCCTGCCTTTCACTGGTGACCGCCTCCGGGACCCTCTCGACCCATCTCCTCCCCTCTCTCAAGTCCCTCCTGTCTTGACACTCCTCTTCTTCTTTCCTAAATGGCCGATACCCTTGTCTATCCTTAGGGAATTCCCGTGTTCCCTCCAGCCTTGCTTCAACATCCATCAGGTCTGCCCACCGGGACTCCACCGGAACGCCTTTCGCGGCTTCGGCTACCCCCTCGTTCACCGTCACCCGTGGCCCCACATTCCTGTGCACTCGCACCTCCGCGCCAGCCCTTTGCCCCTCTGCGACTTGTCTCTCTCCCGGAGCCATTTCCAGGACTCCTTCGACCCTATCAAACGTCTCCTTCCCCTCAATCATTTCTTCCACTATCTGCTTAGACTGACCCCCAGTTCGGTGCTCTTCACTATCCCCCTTCGTTCAGTGGTTTCCGGCGGATCAGGGAGACCAGCCCCCGCTTCACTCTCCATGCACCCTTATTCGCTACTTCTAGTCGCCGCCCTCACTACCGTCCGTGTCACTACCCGACTCGCCCTCCTCACCGCTGTTTCTGTTACTTCCCGATCTCTTCTCCTCCTCTGTTCCTGTCTCTTATACACATCTAGATGTGTATAAGAGACAGGCTTCACTCTCCATGCACCCTTATTCGCTACTTCTAGTCGCCGCCCTCACTACCGTCCGTGTCACTACCCGACTCGCCCTCCTCACCGCTGTTTCTGTTACTTCCCGATCTCTTCTCCTCCTCTGTTCCCTCCTCCTCCTCACTAGAATCCTCGTCCGCACCTTCTCCCTCCGACTCCTCACTGGTTACTGTCCACCAATAATCCCTCAGTTTCTTCTCCTCACTGGCGGCCAATGCAAGATTAGCAACCTCTAGGTACGAGATGCCTCTAACCCCCTCTTGCGCACATCTCCTAATCAAATCCCTGTCCACATCACCAGGCTGCCCGAAGAATAGAGGCTTGATGAACTCCCCAATGCGTGCCCACCACTCGAAATCGGTGTCCTCTCTCGACTCCCAGCACTGGGTGAATAACTCGGGTCCCCCTTCCTCACCCAACGAGAATTTTTCTATCACCTGACCCCTCAACAGGACTCTCCTTACGGTCTCGTCGCCGGCGTAAAGCAGTCGATAGGCCCAGGTAGGGATATTCCAAGTCCTCCCGTGGCCTGCTCTCGGAACCTCCGCCCTCCCTCGGTACTCCACCTTATCAATCGTGGTGCTCCTGGCGCCACGTCCTCTCAATCTCCCCAATCGTTCTAGGGCCCTTTCGGCGACGCCTAGAGGATCTTTTCCTTCCGCTAATTCCGTAGCGAAGATTAGCCGGGCGTCAGGGGACAAAAATATCTCAGCCTTTCTTATGCAACTGTCTCCCTCCGATGCTACTGAGAACCTGATCACTGTCTCCTGCTCGTAAATCTTGAAGAACTCTGTAGTCACCTCGCCTTCCACTCTAATCTTCGGAAGAGTCACTCCATACCGTCCTCCCCACGTCCAAGCCCTATCAAAGGTACCGTAAGGGTCCCCCCTCTCGTATCTAAGCATGGGAGTTCTCACCTCACGCCTGCCAACCGCTCGGCGGCTTCGACCAACGAGTTTTCGCACCTAGCTCGACCCGTTCCCCTATTCCCCCTTAGGGTTTGGCGCAAAGCCTCTTCGTATTCGGTCGTTCTATCCCAAAACCGAGTTTCCACAAGGTGTGTCCTAGACGTCAGTGGCGTTCCTAGACACCTTGAGTCCTCCTCGAACCTTCTCTCTACTTCCAGCAGGCTCCCTCCAAGTCCTTGAGAATCTCACGCCACTCGCGGCTCTAATGTGGACAGAAAAGGTAGCTAGTGTGGTCCAGTTCCTTCTCTTCCACAAAGCCAGCCTCCGGACTTCCACTAGAAACTCCGTCTCGGCGTGGACTATCCGTTCCTCCCCCAATTCCGGGTTAAGCTCGGCACCCCCCTCGATCCTAACCTCGCTATCGTCCTCGTAAGTCTCTAATTCCCAACGAATCCTATTGGAGACGAACGTGGCTCTCATCCCTCACCCCGAGAGAAGGTGTATTGTGACCCCATCGAGGATAGCGATTGTGGCCGTCTCTAGCAGCTTGACCCTGGCTAAGGACCCGGGCCTAGCTCTCCTTGCTTCTTCCCAGCATAGAGCAAGGATCCGCTGAACTTCTTCCCTCACTCTATCCAACCCCACAAGCTCCTCAAGGTCCGGCTCGGTCATCCCTTAACCTCCGTCGATGATAGGCAATAACTACCCGAATCAAGTCAGAGGGGTCCAACTCCGCTAACTCCCCTTCACAGATCTTACCTAAGTATCTCCACGATATCTTAGATTCTCTCGCGTGTCGACCCCACCCCTTAAAAGCGTAACCCATGTCCTCTAGAGTTGACCAATCGTCTCTACAGGGGTCCCGAAAACACCAAGTTAGCAAGGTGTGTCGGTCTGATCTAGTGAACCTGAACTGACTTAGGATGGAAACCCTTCTTCCCACTGCCTTCTTAACAGCCTCGGAGGGGTAAGCCCGCTGAATTGGGGGACGTCCACAGGCTCGCTGGAGAGGAACCGCGATATTTCTTCCCAACCCCCGTAGGTCACTAGATATTCTTCTTCGCACCCTTCTTGAGGTCCCAACCCCTCCACTAACTCCTCTAACTGGCCCCTTACGGCTTGAGCGTCCCAGAGAGGGTCCTGCCCAGTCCGTAGGCTACGCGCTATCTCAACAAAGCCTTCCTTCGAAAGGAATATCCTGGCTTCTCCAACCGGAACTTGTCCCTGGCGACTCACCACGAAGCGTACGGACGCCTTCCCTCGTCGGGTCCCCCCCTCCTCTCGTAGGAGAGTCCTAGCTGGTTCGGCCAGCCGGACCCTAGGCAGAGTGACTCTAATAATCTCCCCGGTATCCTTTAGGGGCTCTATGGACGCCCAGAGAGTCCTCGGAATCCTTCTTATCATCGACCCTCAAACCCCCTCCGGTTTGCCAGCTGCTCTTTTCCGAAGAAGCGAGCGTACGGGACGTCCACGACGAGGGATTGGAGTCCCTCAAACTCCTTCAATCTTCCAAATATGGTGGATAGCTCACTCCTTGGGGGAGTTCTCGCGTCCACATACCGAGTATAAAGCCAAAACAAACCCCTAGCCCATACTCCGGATTCTCGAGCAGCCCTAAGCACCGCCACTACCCTTTCCTTCGGGTCTCTTAGGAAAGAACTGGCCACGAATTGGGGCAGGTTAGCGTGAAGGACCCCGGAAGCGCGAGGGACCTCTCCGGGCTCGGCGAAGGAAACTAGGGACCACGACTCGAAAGTCCCCTCCTCGTAATCTGTTAACACCAGGTTGTTCGCCAACAGCCTGGCGGACTCTCGGTACTCAAAGTGCGTAAGCCGCCCGGTCACTAAACCTCTTCTGACCTCGGTCCACCTCTCTTCGTCGAAAAAAATGGTTGCTCGGATCTCTAGGAAGCGACCGATGTCGGGTGGGCCTCCTCTCTCCACCCCCTCTTTCCAAGTGAGCCTTCGCGCTCGAACCCACACGTAGGCCCCTTCTCTGATTAATCCCCCCTTCTCAACACTCATCCAATAAGTAGTCACCTAAGGGTCTCCTGGGATCAAGACCTTCTCGGGATCACCGGCCTCTATCGATTCTACCACCCCTTCTTCATTGAGGACGAACTTCACCATCGACTTTCGTCGCCCTAAAGACCCACCTGTGATAATCTTCCGGAGAGAGAGTGTAGGTCTTTTCTAAGGAACCCAGTCTACGGAAAATACCCCAAAGCCTCCTGCGCGGCGGAATACCTTGATCGATGCAGTGCGTATAGAGTATTCACAGGGCCCAGACGGTAAGACCCAAACCCCTACCCCTCTCTAGAAGACGCACTATCTTTTCCTCGTTTGCCCTAGGGAACAGGTAGGACGGCACCCTCAGAGTTAAGGGGTATCGCGATCTTGGAAGTTCACCTTCCCTCGCGAACCTTTCCCTTTCCACGGACACGAACGCAAATCACTCTCTAACCCTACTTACCCACTCTCCTCTCACCTCTCTCGCCTCTCGCAACAATCTTTCCAGCCCACCCCCTTGTCCCAGAACTAGGGGCACTACAAACTTTGCCCAAGCTTTCGGTGCTATAAAAATAACCGCGGTTACCTCAAGGCTCCGTCCAATACCTGGGCCTTCTACTTCTTTGGACTCTATCTACACAAATTCCCCACTGACCGTGGACCTCCCCTCTTCTACCCTTTCCCAATCCGACAGTTCCCTGTTGCTAGGGATCAGCCTAAGGGCCTCACGGTCTTCTAATGGGGACTCAAAGAAGCATCCCCGCTTTCCATCATGGAACACCATTCATTTAGAAGATCCTTTGCAACACTCCGAAGACCCTTTGGTATCCGTAGTCCCTTCCTCCCTCGCGGTCCCGGGTGGACTCCCTAAAGATCCCGATACGAATCCTACAAGCCTTGATCCCGTACGGCACCGGGTTATCCATGCAATAGGTGTAGTACCAATGGAGTGACCTAACGGAGAGTTGCCACCCCTTTTCCCTCACTATGGACCGTACTATCCTGTCGTAGCGCTCCTCCTTCCCGCTCACCCTTCGAAAAACAAATGATGGGAATATGGCCCTGACGCACCCTGTGGCACGGGGATATTCTTCGTCTAGCGCGCAGGTCACCCTCACCTCGACGGGTGGGCTATGCCTAAGGGATTCAGCCTCAAAGATCTGCCTCAAAATCGGACCAGCCCGTGCTTCCCAATGATCCGCACGGTACCACCCCAGGACCAAATGAGTGACGTACTCGACCCAAGCTTCCTTACTCAAGTAGACTGTTCCTTCCGCACGGATCACTGCTCGCCTGGGTCTCTTTCCGTTCTGGGGCCTGTTTCGGGACCACCTGTCCCCCTCCCAAGTCCCCACTGCGAAACGAGCCCTGAGAAAAACCCCTTTCTTTAGCTCTACCCCCCTCTCGCGACCGGCTAGATATCGCTCCGTGCGGTGGTCCAAGGGGACGCTGAAGCACTCTCGGTCTTTGCTTAAATCAACTTTCTCAATCCGAACCCCTTCTTCTTCAGTACCCTCTATGATTCTAACCATCCCCTAGGACCATCTCCTCTATGATTTGAACTAGCGCTCTCCACTCGTCTGACCTGTCCAGGAAGGCGTCCGAAATAGTGGGGATTGGCCTACCCCCTCGCGGATACGTCCGACACCCCAATGAGTAGAAATAGTTAATTTCGTAAGCCCCTAGCAGCTGCCTCTCAAGCTGCGCGTGACCGATCGCTTCCTCCCAGCTATCCAAATACCCCGCCGCTCTATCTACTCCCTCTTCCACGTACAAGGCTATGTCAAAGTGCCCGGTCCACCAGTAAAAGGTATAGCACCAAACATCTACTCCGCCTATATCCCCCATACTAATCCCCGCGGGCTTAAACTCCAAAGACCTCAAGCTCATGGATCCGCCGCTCTCACCGTATGCTTCACTATCTCTACTAGTACTTTCCATCCATCCAACCCATCAACATAAGCGTCCGGAATTACCGGCGTCGGGCGACCACCTCTCGGGTAGGTACGATATCCTAGAGAATAGAAATACTTGAATCCGTAACTCCTTAACTCCCCCCGCGAACAGCGGGAGTCGCCTATCGCCTCTTCCCACCCTCGAAGGAAGTCCTCTCCTTGATCTTGCCCCTCCTCTACATAAACACCTACATCAAAGTCCCCAGTCCATAGTCTACAGGAGTAGCACTACACATCAACACTTCCATGGGTACACACACTAATCCATTCGGGAGTGGTTTCTAGGCTCATACAGTATAATCAAAAGAAACTTCTCTATTGGCCACTCGAGAGACCACCTCTATCCCGCGAGGAAGAGAAGCCTGTGAGCTCAAAAGAATCAAATGGACCAGAGAAGGAACGTCGTCTCACTCGGCTACCTTCCTGTCCTCCCCCGTTGAGAGACTCCTCCCCACTCCCAGCCTAGAGACTAGCCGCGGACACAGGTTATCCCCGAGGAAGGGTGGCAACCCCCTCCCCGGAGTCGGACCGAAGTCACACACCCGCACCCTACGTCCCCCACTGAACTGACCTCTAGTCCTAATTAGCCTATCCGGCACCACGCCTCTACTCGGCCCACCTCAAGCGTGGAATTACCCGGGTCCCAGGACAAGATCCACCTATGTATCGGAAATCGCTAGCCTATCTACTCTCTCCCCATTCTCCTCATCGTGAACTCTTCGCACTTCGTTCCCTTCTTCCTTTTTCGCCTCCCGCTGCCTCTTTTCTCTCTTGGTATCACCGAAAGATCGGGGAATGTAAGAAAAAAAAGGGTGGGAAGAGCGGAGCTTTTAGGAAGAGGCTCTCAGGTGGGGTTGACAAGCATACGTACCTTGGGTCTTCAATACTCGTTATCGTAGTCCCAAAAATCCCACAGTTCCGAGTCCGAGAAGTCGGCTAGACACCGGTCCACCCAGGAGCCGGCCTCCGATCCCTCGCCCAAGGTCCCCCAAGTATCCCCCTCTCCTTGAATGTCCTCGCTATCAAGGTCAGGTATCTCCTTCTCTCCCCTTCGCTCCGGTACCTGTAGC